CCAAGTATTGCACTATTTAGACCAGGCAAGACAAAAAGCAAAGTTAATTTTTCCCCTAGGAAGGGTTAAATCCACTTAAACAATGTGCAATAAAGACAGAGCCGTGCCCCAGTAACACTGAAGTTGTTTCTATCCCACACAATAAGCTCAGGAAGCAAAATTAAAATCTATCTGCATGGTCTGAGGTCACTCGGGCTAGGGATGGTTATTTTAAATCTGAATATTAAAAACATATGCTTCTAGCAAAGCTGAACCTGCTGGTGCTCAGCCTTTCCCAGGGAATGCTGAACACCTCCAGAGCCCACCAAGCAGGACTGGAGCCACCTCCAAGGGGTCACAGCAGGCAGGGCTGGGGCTCCATAGGATGGAAACAGATATTGTTTAGACAAGATGATGAACATCTCTAAAGATTCAATCTTTAATCATTTCTGATTTACAAACTAATCCTAACAATGATGCAATGCATCCCCAGCCCACTGCTCTGAGGCTCGTAACTCCAGCACAGCCCATACACACTGCTAATTAGTTTCTATTACAGCAGAAATGCTCTTAATAAACAGCAGTGTGAAGAGACTTCTGGATTGTGCAGTGGCCACGTAAATAACCTTTAGGAGAAGCCCTTTAGTGCCCATGTGCTGGCTGGGCTGGCTGCAGCAGGAGCTGAGCACTGCCCTGGGAGAGGGGAATCCTGCAAAGAATGATTTCCAGTCAGCCTTTGCAGCACCAGGAGTGCTTTCCCTGCCTCCCCTGATCTGCCAGGACAATTCTCTAGGTGTGCACAGAGCAGCCAGAGCAGGGCTCCAGCCTCAAGCACTTTGAGGGCAGCACCAGGGTAACAAAATTCTCACACCAGGCTGAGCCCAGGCTCCCTGGAGGACTCTGTGCCACCCACTGTGACCAGAGGTGACACTGCAACCTTGCTGTGCAGAGCCACTGTAAACAAAAACACAGTGCCACAGTTTCTGCTCGCTTTCAGAAACTCAGTTTTGACAAGAAATTCAAAACCCTTACATAACCATATAATTAAAGGATTATTATGAGAGATGGTTTGCTTAAAATGATCCGTTCTGCTGAAGAACATCTTGACTGGGTGCAGCACTCTCCTAACCAGGAAAAGGACATAAAGTGGCTGATTTTGGAGCTTATCTGTTCAGGAACTTATTTATGCTCTGCTCCAAAGTTTAGAGGAGCCAGAAGCCAAAGAACCCCTCCTCAACAGAGCAAAGAAATGACACTGACAGGGAAAATGCCAAACAGGGCGAGTTTTGCAAGCTCCCAATATTTACCATCCATCCCAGAGTACTCCATTCTCATGCAAGCATGTCACAATGAGAAAACAACATCTCTATAAGGGTAAAACAAACAGCATTCACAATTTCTGAAAGCATTCTTCCACAATTATTGCACTAGATTAGATTGCCTCATCACCAGGGCCAGAGGCCATTTACACTATTTTCTTTCTTTTTTATTTTTTTTTATGGAACAGATGAAAGGATTACAGAAAGTTTTCTGGGGCCAAATTCGGAGCTAATGATGGGAAAATTCTTTTGCTAATCCCCACTGCTAGCAGACTCCTGAGGCTGGAAAAAACACAATGTCTCCTGGTACCCTGCTTCCATGTTGCTCATCGGTGCAAAATGCCCGGCTCAGGAGGTTTGCAAAGGCCCATCAGCTTTAGGCAGAGCCATAAAATCTGCAGGACTTGAGCACAGAACCACTAAAATCTGCACAGTGAGAGCCAAGGATGGGGCTCAGCCTCAGCCACTCCATCCCAGCTGTGCCCTGGGGCTCTTCCAGGACATTCTGTGCCTGCAGGATTCCTGCAGAGATGGGTGGAAAGCCATGCAGCCAGGCTGGTGTCACCTGCTGTCACCTGGGCACATCCCTCCCATGGGCACAGCTGCCAGCAGGCCCCAGGGATGCCCTGGGACACAGCTCCAGCCCTGCCCCTCAGCCCAGCAGACACCTCCTTCCCAAAGGCCAGTTTAATCACCTTGCAGCCATTTAACAACACAAAGGAATTTGCATGTGAGGAGTAAACTCTGCACAGTTAATGCCTTAGGTCCTGGTGCATCTGCAAAGGCACAGCTACACCACCTGGCACTCGGGGAAAATGCCCTGGCAGCCTCAGAGAGCTGCAAACACCTCCAGAGAGCTGGAGCTCCTTGGAATGGAGAGAGCAGCCTGAGGAACGAGTCTGGAAAATCAGTACCCGGCTCCCTAAAGCCTCATCCATTCATGCACATTATCAGCTACTTCTGAATGAAGGCAGGCTTTACTTTAAGAGCAAGACAAGCTGCAGGCACCTCCGGAGCTGCAGAAGGTGGGAACATCCCCAGCAGCCAGGGAAGTGGAAGTGAAGCTTCCCACAGAAAGGGGCTTTTGATGGAAAGTCTGACTGGAGGAAAGAGAAATGTTGAAGCAGCACTTAATGAAGATGAACTTCCCCTGCCTCCCCACAACCCAGACGATGCCATTATCACTCAGCACCAGGAAGGAAAGGGATTCCAGGGAAGGGGAAATTACAGGGCAGTTATCCTCATCAACCTGAGCGAGCAGCAGTGACACGAGCTTGGCACAGAGCCTGAGCAAAGTCTGCTCATGGTTAAGCACAGGGCATGAAGTAAGATGTGCACAGGGAAAACAGCCCCTGGAAAATATTGCTAAGGGCTTCAGCTTTTCCAGGGTGCCAGTGGCAACAAAATGTCTGACCTTATCCCCCCCGTATCTGCCAAAAAAAAGCCCAAAAAAAAGGGATTGCATCAAGTCAGCGGAAACACGGGAGTTCCACTGGCCTGGCAGGGCTGGGGCTGAGTGCTGAGTGATCTGCCCCCACATCTGGGGAGCCAGGCTGATTCCCAGCTCCTTCAGACAGCTTCAGCCCTCCTGGTGACACCTCCTGCAGCTGGTGCTGGGCACAGGCTCTGAGCAGCACGACCCTCACCACTCCCTGCAAGCTCCCCTCTGTGGAACAGCTCCTCTGGCTCCAGGTAGAGCCCCCACAAAAACAGGAATCTGCTCAAGGCTTTCTAACTGTCTGCCACACAAACAACACCAGCACCACCTGCAGTATTTGGAAAAAGAAGGGTTAAATATATCAATTTCACAGATATTTCAGGGTCTCATTGATAGAAGTCTGGCAAAAACACAGATCCTTCAGGGTCCCAAAACTGTAAGAATTTGGGGAACCATCCCCAACAGAGAAATGGGACACAGATCATGTATTTTCCTGAGGAGAAACCAAAGTTTCACAGAGAGTCCATAAACATTCTCATGCTTCCCACCTGTTTCCTATTTAGAGCAAAAAAAGAAAAAAAAAAAGCAATTAATATGACTTTCTAAGCAACTATTAATAAAGAAAGCTATGAGATGAGACCTCTGATTGAAAATGTCTTTCCTCACATGAGGCAGGGGATCCAAATATGACAAGAGCACTAAGCACAGTGTCTCCCAGCTGCACAAACCCTTCCTTAACAACCCAAGATTAATAAACAAAGACATTTCGAGGCATTTCCCATCCCTCCTGGGTTCAGCCGTGGCAAACAGGAGAAATCCATCCTCCTGCTGCCCCGTGCTACAGAACAGAGCTCCCAGCAGCACCTCCTGGCAGTGATGTGGATTTGGGAACCCTCACTCCCAGCAAACTCACAGAGAGAAGCAAAGGGAAAATTGCAAAGGGAAAATCCCACCCCGGGAAGAAGCAGGTCTCAGGGTTTGGTCTCAGGGTTGTTGTAGGAATATAAAAAGGTAAAAGATTATAGAAAGTGCAAAAAGGCCCCAGAAAGTAGACATAAAGCTAAGAAAAGCTGGGAAATTTCAAAACCATCTCATGGGAAGTTAAGAACCAAGTGAATACATTTATATTTATCATAAGGAACAAGAAAGAACAAGAACTTACTGATAATTCAAGATGTGAAAAATCCTAGATATATGCTTTGCAAAGATAGAAAAAGTTTCAATCTTAAATAATGAATTGTGTATTGTTTGAGGTTGATAGAAGTTCTTTTGTTAATGTTTAACCCATGTGGGTCCTTTTGTTATTTGTTGGAGTATAATGACTTTGCACCTTTTCTTTTATGCTACTGGTTCAGAGAATATGTAGAAAAAGGCTTTGCATGGGCTGCCATCTCATCTCTGATCTGGATTTGCATAGGTGGTGTTGTTTGCCTGCGTCTGTTGCTTTCTGCTTGTAGGACACAGACAATAAACCCTGAGTCTGACCCAGCCAGACCCACCCATTTGTGAGACACAGACCCAGCAGAGGCTGTCAGCAAGGAAAGGACACTGCCCTGCTCGAGGTGAGGCACCAGGAGGGATGAAGCACAGGGGTGCACCCCTGGCAGGGGCAGAGGCCCAGGGCTCTCACTGGGCTGCTCCAGATGAAAAATCAGGAGCACTGGAGGATCTGCTCTGCCAGGGCTGGCTCGTGCCACGTGCACTGTGAGGTGATAACAAAGCAGATTTATTTATTACTGCAGGAGAGCAGTCCCACCGCCTGCTCTGGAAGGAGCATGGTGCTCTCCTGGCTCAATATTACACTTAATTTGATCTACACTCACTGCCACAAAGCCTCCCAAAGCCAAGCCCTTGCAGCACACAATGCAGTGCTTCTCCTTTAATCGCTGGCTCAAGACCTTTCCATTCAGTTCAGGAAAGGCACAGAATGAGAACGCTCAAGTGAAGCCCTGCAACACATGAAAACTGTCATAAAATGGAAAAAGGCAGAAGATGGAGAACAAAATGAATTCTGTGCTTTGCAGCAGCAATCACCAAGGTCTTTGTTCAAAAGTCAGGCTGGGGGAAACATCCCAAGGGCTCTACAGAGCCCACAGGGAACGGAGAGAGGCAAATAAAACCAGGTGATGAACGGGCAGAATCTGCACTGAACATAAACCTTCAGTGCCAGCTGCTTGCTCTGTGGGCAGAAGGAGCAGTTGTGTGGGGAGAGGAAAAAACAAATCCCAGTCTTACAGAAAAGTGAGGCAAAATCTTGTCCTTACCGTTCTGCTCATCCAGCTCATTCCCAATTTCCTGCCCCATTTGTTTTTGCCTGGATATGATTGAAGAAAGAGCATCGAGTCCAGCATCTTGTTCTGCACCAGGAAAATATGTTAAATTACTTCAAGAAGTTGCTGAAATGCCAGGCTACATAAAATAGGTAGAAGTGAAGGAAAAAAAAAAAAATCTAGTCTGTGCTTAAAGGGCTAAAATGTATTAAGAAAAACACATGAACACAACATGAAAATTAATCCTTATGGCAACAGTACTCTTGAAATAATGTGAATGATGGGTAAATTATTTCTCTGCTCTGGCTGGGTCATTTTGCTGAGGATCCAAAAAAAAAAAATCCAAGAATTTAACATTTAGCTGTTACTCAATCATAAATGCAGGGGATTTTCTGGCACACACAGCGAGCTCCAGATTAGCCTTTTTAAATTTTCCAAGCAACTTTGAACATGAATAAAAGAAAACAGGTGATGCAAACACCAAAGAATTCAAGGAGGTTTTCAAAGCTGCGAGAGGACACAGAGGGTGGGGAGAGCTGAGGGCAGTGACAGTGTGATGTGCTCCCAGAGCTCTGCAGAGCTCCTGGGTGAGGAACCACATCCCCTGTGCCCTGCAGCCAAAATGTGCAGCTCTCCCTGCCCACAGCTGCCAGGTCAATGCCCAGGGCACAGCAGTGATGGGAAATGGGGTGGCCAGGACACCCTCCACTTCAACAGCCTCATCTAATTACCTCCAATGTAATTAAAAACCCTCCTGCACCATCCAGACATTCTCCTGAGCTGCACACAAGCTGTTCCCAGGCAGAGTGAAGCAGGCTTTTTCTGGAGACTGATTTCATTGCATCACTTCCAGTACTGGAATTGCCTGGAAATGAGCTCATCATCCACCTGACCTCCTCAGGCTGAGCCTCCCCAGCACTCCCAAAGTCAGAGACTCCTTACGGGTGCTGAGGGCCAAACTCTGAAGGGCCTTTTTGGGGTGAGTTAATTCTTACCTCGTCCCAATTCAACAAGGCCTTTAGTGCACCCAGCAAGGCCCCTACACTCAGTGCAGTTACGTGATCACACTGCACACCAAAACCATGAATATGGGCAAAACCAGGACTCCCAAAATTTAATTTAAGAAGTTACACCCAGATAAGAACAATGCTGCCCCTGCAAATACAGAAATCAGCTGCCTGGAGCTGCTGTGTTTGACATCTGTAAAGAATAAAACTTCAGCACAGGTTTGTGGCAGGCACATTCTTCCCTCTCTCAGGATTTTTCACAGAGGTGCACAGAGAGAAGAAAGAGACAGCAATTTATATTTCTACTCCTTGTTTTTCCATGTGGAATGTGTTTGGAGAATTGTTTACCTGGACTGAGTGCTTGGTTGGATTCTGGTGAGAATTGTTTGAGCTGATGGCCAATCCAACCCACCTGGGGCTGGACTCTCAGAGAGGGGCACGAGTTGGGAATTAGATATGGTAGTTAGAAAAGTAAGTTTGTAGTTTTAGTATCTCCTTTAAATAGTATATTAATGTATTATAGCATAGTTATAATAAAGAAATCATTCAGCCTTCTGAACTGGAGTCAGACATCAGCATTCCTTCCCACTGGGTTCACCTGCATTTCCAATACAGATTGGGGTACTGAGGTTCAAATAAAAGCTCCTCTCAGAATCCCAGAGATGCTTCAAACACCCAGAAAGTCCCGTGTACCTTCAATGATCCTCCTCTGCTGCTGCCTGAGCTCATCAAAGCCGAGTCCTCTGGTCTCCTCGGGTTCTTCCAGGAGCCAGGGGTTGGTGACGCCTCGTTTGGCCCCTCCTGCCATGAGGCTGGATCTGAAAAGAGCCCCAGTGAGTGATTCCCACCCCTGGCACACAGCACAGCCAGGGCTGAGCACTGCCAGGGGTCTGTGCAACCCGGGAGGAACCAGCCTAAAACAGTCCCTGAGAGCAAATCCATCCCACAGGCTGGAAGGGGCAAGGAAGGGCAGAGCTTATCTTACAGGGATAAATAGATTATTGTATATATTCCTCTTACAGGGATAAATAGATTATTGTATATATATTCCTCTTACAGGGACAAATAGATTATTGTATATATTCATCTTACAGGGATAAATAGATTATTATATATATTCATTTTACAGGGATAAATAGATTATTGTATATATTCATCTTACAGGGATAAGTAGATTACAGGGATACATAGATAATAGATATAAAATGTTGTTTGCATGAAGAACACACAACATTCCTGGGAATACTCATTCCTGGATTTGCCACATGACCAAAGTACAAGCTCATAAAAATACTGCTACAGCCTCAAACAGTAAAAGGATCCACTTGTTAATAGAGATGCAAATCAGATGAGACTTAATTCCCCACAATCCTGACCAAACCTAACAAGGAACATTCCTGAATTTTAAGAGTTGTAGATGGACACAGCTCCCTTCCTGCATTTCCTAGTCTGGCATCAACCCGAACGAGAAGCCAGGAACACACACTCCCAAACGAAAGAGTAATTAAATAATGGGTTTTCTTTCCAAAGAATTATGACTTGAAATTGTTCACATTACAGACACTTCCCTGGTGACCACAGAAAACAAGATTTCCATGTCCAGAGCACATAAATCCAAGCAGTAAAACGAAACCCCACTCAAATATTTCCTCAAAACCAGATTTCTGCCTTCCAGCTCTGCACTGGTTTCTCCTAGAGGACAAACGTCCCTGAAGGCAGAACTGCAGCTCAGCTCTGGGGGCAGGCATGGTAAGGCTGCTGCCCCTGCAGATGCTGACAAGTTGGAATTTTTGCTTTCCGTTCTTTAAACTCTGAATTTCATTCCTGTTTGAATGAAAAACTTCTCCCTGCTCTTCCCCAAGCAACCCAAAACCAGAGAGGGCTTTTAGGATCTCTGAAGTTCTCACTGATTTTTGTTACACCAAGGAATCCCGGGCAGCTGGGGACATCTCCTGGCCGTGGCATGGAGCAGCCCTGCTGGAAAACCAGCCCGGAGCAGAGCCCGGAGAAGTCAGTGAAGTCAGAATGGAAAATGGGGAAAAAAGAAATGGAAAAAATAAAATAGAAAAAATGATAGAAAAAAAATTTAAAAAATTATAGGAAAAAATATAAAAAGTTATAGAAAAAATAATACCAAATAAATGGAAAAAATTATAGGAAAAATAGAAAAATAATACAAAAAAATAGAAAAATTATAGGGAAAAATAGAAAAATTATAGGGAAAATAGAAAAAGTTATAAAAAAAAAGAAAAAGAATAGAAAAAATATAGGAAAAAACAGAAAAAATAATAGAAAAAAAACATAGGAAAAACTAGAAAAAAGTAATAGAAAAATAATAGGAAAAAATAGAAAAATAATATAATAAATAGAAAAAATTAGAAAAAATAATAGGAAAAATAATTAATAGAAGAAAATAATAAAAAAATAGAAAAAATAGAAAAATATAGGAAAAATGGAAAAAATAATAGAAACAAGGGGGAAAAACAACGGGGGGAAAAAACAACGGAGGAAAAAACAACGGGGGGAAAAACAATGGGGGAAAAACAATGGGGGGAAACAAAGAAAAAATAGTAGAAAAACTAATAGAAAAAACTAATAGAAAAACAACCCTCTTTTTTTAATGGAAGTGCCTATAAAAGTGTTTTTATAAATCTCAACACCTCCCTTAAGCACCCAGTGATGCTGAACTCCAAAGCAGAGGCAGCCCCGCTGTGCCAAGGGCAGTGCCAGGGAGGGGCTGGGATTCCTCTGCACCCCAGCCCTGCAGCTCCATGGCACTTCCATGGACTTGTGGCTGGCAATCAGGCTTGGTTAGACAGTGACACACCTGCAGTGCAGCTCTGCACAGCACCCAGCCTCCCTCCCTGCTCTGGGGATCAAACATGCTCTTTTATCTCCCAGCCCCACAGCTGGCACCAGGTTTGTGAGCAGGACAAGCATTACACTGCTCAAGAGGGAAAACCACTGCAGCTCCCAATTCGCTTCAATTAGGAGGACACAGAACCCAGGGCAACAGCATCTGCCAGAGCTGTTTAACTACAGCAAAGGGAATAAAGCTCTGCTTGCTAAAACGAGCACAACTATTTCTGCCTGTTAAGAAACAGCCAAGGCCAGCAAATTTGAAATAATTTGCGGTTCCATCTCCCTCCCTCCCACCGGCGCTCTGCCCCATTCCTGTAGGCTGGGTCATGACAAGTGGTCTGCTCGTTAGAATAATCTTTGTGACATGTTTGGTAACTGCCTTCCCCTGCACACTGCGCAGCTTCCCCTGCCTCTGATCCTGCCTGCCTGGCCTGGCTGGTGTGAAGATTAAAGCTTATCCAATTAGCCACCCACCGCCTCCGCCAAGTTAATCAGGCAAATCTTGGGAGCCCGGCAGAGCACTGGAGTGTGGGGATGGCTTTTGATGATGGGAGCAGATTTAACTAATTACAAGGCTCAGCAATGCTCCGAGTATAAAAGGTGATGGGGTTTAAAATCAGGGAGCTCTGTCACTGCCTAACAAGGGAGGGCTTGTCTTATTGTTTCACTGGTAATTCTTAGGACACCTCCCAAGCAACTTAGATTACTCAACCAGCACCTACTTTAGGCCAAGGCCACACATCAAGGCTTAGGGCTTCACAGGAGTGATCAGCAAGACTGAGCCTTAAACAAAACCGGGGTCATATGACAGCTGGCTGGATGATCACTTGAACATTCCCTCAACTACAGAGGGGCTCTTTGAAGCACCCAGGGCACCCAGCCTGGCTTCTCAGGGCAGCTGCAGGACTGGGGCATTCTCTCGCTTACAGTGCCCACTCTGTAGTTTTAAGAAGCTCCAAAAATGTAATTTTAACATACAAAATCAAAACCCTCTCCATCTCTCCAAAAACCCCTGAGGGGCCATATGAGCACGGGCACTTCCAAGTCCCCTCCAGGCACCATCCCAGGTGATTTCCTCCCAAGAAACTCTCCTGATGGGAAGCCTCCAGCACTCCCTGCAGCTGGGAGAGGATTTCCAGCCCCAGCAGCACAAGGACTGCTGCTCCCCTGTCCCAGGAAATCCCATGTTGCCCCTGACACCATTTCCCTGTGCCTGGGGTCTCTGCTCCCACTGCTTCAGGGACAGGAAGCTGCACTGAGGAGGGTGTTGGACAACCCTGACCACACAGCCAAAAGCCTTTAACCCTGGAAAGCCCCAGATCTGATCCTGGTGTTCTCCTGGATGGACAATTCCCTCTCCTCCCATCCCCACCCCAGCTCAGGATGCTGCAGCTGCAGCCAGGAGGCTCCAGCAGAACTGGGAGGGAGGAAGGACACCAGGAGGGACTTTCAGGGGCACCTGAACAGCTCATGTTGATCTCATTTCCTTCTTTCCTTATTTGCCCCTCACAGACAACACCCAGATTCCCAAAGGGATTTGACACCTGAAGCTGGGCACTCGTGGACTGAAGCCTGTTTGGCATTAGGCAAAATTCCTGTTTGGATCCAGGCTGAAAGACCTTCCATCTGTCAGGAAAGGGTTCAACCAGGAAAAATAGTGACCCACACTGGAGAGAAAAATTAATACAGACTCTTCCAAAATGTACCCAGGGTACCCCTTACTGAAGGTGCTTTGTGTCCCACAGGCACCAGAAGCTGTCTCTGTTTCTGAGGAACCCCAGGAGACACCAAGGAAGGGCAGGTAATTTATTGATCCTCTGGTGACTGGCATGGACTTCTCCAGCCCGAGACCTGGTCAGACAGAGTGGGAATACTCCCATTCCTCTGTCTCCACCAATGTTTCAATACTCGTGAAGTCTGAGATGTGACACGCAGGGAGTCACCGCTCCTGGCTGCTCTCCCCATTCCTGCCTTTGCAGTGGGATGAAGCCCTGGGAACTCTGCCCCATCCCAGCCCCTGCTCCAACAACCTGCACACATCCTCCCAAGGAGAAAAAGGGGCAGAGGACACTGGAACTGCCATGAAAAGCCCTTTAAAGGAAATGGAACTGCTCGAGGGGAGGCACCCACAGCCCAACCTTTCCCTGCAGAACCCCAGTGGCTCCTGAATTCGGGCGGAGGGGCAGGAGCTCTGTCCCAGCCACGGAGCATCCTGCAGCAGTTGTCACCCAGGATCAGCCCCGAGAGCATCACAGCTCAGCCCTGCAGCCCAAAAACAGCTTCAGAGCAGCTTCCACAGGATGTGAAACTCCCCGAGTGCTGAGCAGACCCAAAGCAGCTGAATTCCAGGGCAAAGCTCCCAGCCCCCAGCCCTGGACAATAAATTTGTGATCAGTGGTGCAGGAAGGTTAATGAAAGGAAGGGCTGCTGCCAAGAGCAGGGCTGGGCACCGTGGGCTGTCACATCAGGCCTGGATTAGAGATGGAAAAGCAGCACAAGCCAGGCAAGTGTCACTGCTCAGCTCCATCAAACCCCAGGTGCTGATTGTTCTAATGCAGGGCAAAGCTGAATGTCAGCTCCAGGGCATTCCAGGGGGGGGTCTGCACCTCCGGAACCCCAAAGCTGGGCCAGGATCTGCCAGGATTTCAGAGGGACCCCGGGCTGGGAATGGCAGCTGAGCCCTGCAGAGCCTGGGGGCCCCGTGCCTGACACCAGCTCCTGCCAGGAGCCAGCCAGGATTCTTCTGAGATCCTCCAAGATCCCTCCAAAGTCCTTCCACTGAAGAGACCCTCAGCAAACATAAACACACACAGGGATACAGAAAAGCATCAGCTGAACTCTGAGTGCCACCAAAACCAGTGCCCAAGAGCCACCACGCACAGAGTGACACCCTAAGTTTGAGCTTTCACATTTCCCAGGCTCTGAGCTGCACACAAAGTGCCAGCAGCTCTCCTCACAGCTCAGGCACACACAACAATCCTTTTCCAGCCCCACAACCAAGGACAGCTGCAGCTCCAGCCCCAAAAAGTGCAACCAGCAGGAATGGAGGAGAGCAGCCTGGGAGGGTGGGACTGCAGCACCTGGAGCTGGAATTGGGCACTGAACCCGATGTGGGAATGGCCCAGAACTCATCAAAGTGGGACAACTCCTGCCTCTGAGCCCACCTTGGGCCCACCTTGGGTGCAGCCCTGGCTGGGCTCTTGTGCTGCCCAAGGTGTGTCCTTTGAGGCCTTTTGATAAATCCCTGATTATTCTTTCCCCCTGCCCAGCCTCTGCTCCAGGCAGCAGCAGAACTGCCAGGAATGTGCTGTCACTGACAAGGACACGTCACTGCTAAGGACAAGCCTCTCCCTTTGGTACCTGCAGGGCTGGGGGAGCTCAGTTCTCACCTCAGATGCTCCCAAACAGAGACCCAGGGGGTTTGAGGGGACAGTGCCATACCTGCTCACGTCTGCCTCCGGGCCCTCGTTCCTGTAGGATGCCTCGAGCTGTCTGTGCCGTGTCAGGAGCTCATCCACCAAATTCTGCCTCCTGTCCCCCTCCAGCTGGGTGCTGATGGCTCTGGGTTAAGGACCAAGCTCAGAAACACCAAAAAGCTTTCATTCCCTTGCATAAAATAATATTTGTTATACATTCTTAATATAAATCAGACTTCCCGATCATCCAAATTAACAATTTTAACTCAAAGAAAAGGCTCCAAGATCAAAGAGGATTGGTCATATTTTCTGAGTGAAACCTGCTGTTATTCTAGATGTGCTTCTGAGCTTTACATATCTGAAACAAAAGGTTTCATACAGTGGCCACAGAATGAATTTTATGTCATCATCTCAAAGTAATTAGAGGACTGAAAGGACATTTACTGCCAAATTTGCAGTAAGAATACCATTTCCCCTCTAAAATCCAAGCAAGGTAATTTTTTGTTTGTTTGTTGGTCTCTAACACTGACAAGGTGACAGTACTGCACAGGTTAAGCTCAGGGCAGGATGAGATTTCTTAACAGAGCTCCAAACTGCACTGCCACCACCAGGGCAGCCAAGCAGAAGAGAGCCTTTAGAATCAGCAGGGAATTTCTCATCTCACTTCACTGGAGGCTCCTCACACAGACCAGGGGAGCAGCTCCCAGCCAGGTGATCACAGAAAAACCAAAATTTTCCTTTGAGCATGTGTTTCCCCTTGCAATTCATGAGCAGAGCACCCGAGGAACAACTCACACAGTGCCTCTGGAGAGCTCTGCCTTCCCCAGGGGAGCTGTGGGGGCTGCTCCAAACTAACCTCAGCGACACCCTAAGGGCTTTAACTCTCTCCCAGGCACTGCTGAGCGGGTTCAGCACTGGCTCAACTGGTCTGTGTGTGTTTTCTGCCACAGCAGCAGCACCTGCCTGCCCAAGCACCCACTGGGCAGGGCAGTGTCAGCACTGGGCACCAGCACAGCACTCAGGGCTCAGGAGGGGTTTGTGCTGTGCTAGGCTGAACTGAAACACCCAAACCTCAAACCAGACTGCTCCTGGTACCTTGAGGGAGATGCACATCCCTGTGACTCCTTAAACTGACTCTTCAGCACCTCCCAGTCCAGCCACAGGGGGACACTCCTAGCAAAAAATCTGATTTCTTCACAAGGTGTATTTTTCAGCATTTTGACCAATCTGAAGCTGCAGGGCTGTTGTTTCTTAAGTCAGTCAAAGCCAGGATACCCCAGCCTGAACAAAGCTTCCTCCTTCCTTGTAGCAAGGCCTGGCCAAGAGAAAATGCCAAGAGAAAATCCACCTGGCCAGTTTAGTGCTGGCCAAGTGATCTTGCTCATGGAGAAGCACTGCCTGCCCAGCACAGGCAGCTCTGAGGTGCCTCAGACACCTCCTTCAGCTCCTCTCAGCCCCTCCTGGCAAGGACAGGGACACAGAGGTGGCCAGAGCCAGGCTCTGTCCCAGCCCCTCCTGCGTGCAGCTGCCCTGCAAAGAGCAGCCAGCAGCACAGAGAAAGGGCTGGTGACCAAGTGTCCTGCAGAGGGACAGAGGCGAACACCCAGAGCCTGTGGCAGGGGTGACAGCACATTTTGCAGTGTGCCCCACAGCCCAGCAGGACAGGGCTGCTGTTCACGGGAGACAGAGGGAAAATGTAACAGGGTAGAAATCCATTTGGATTTAGGTGAAATGTGCTGCTTTGAGCTCGCCAGAAAAAGTAAAATATGCTGTTTAGTCTGGTAACTGCAGCACTGTAAAACTGCCCCAGCTGAGGAGAAAGAATGAGAATTTCCAAGCTGAAGAGATAATAAGAGAGGCTCCTCGAACCTTGAAACAGACAGGGCAGAGTGACCCAGGAGTTCTTTCTGTACTTTCTGACAAAAACTGAGTACAAGAGTAACTAGCTGTAAGTGTAATCAGCAGAATGAATATGTATGAACCTATTGCGAAATTCTATGCATATGTAAATTAGTAAGAGTAATAAAAATGGATCAGGAGTTCTCAGGGGCAGCATGTCCTTTGAAGGGGAACGATCCCCACATGCTTCCAGCACTGCAATAAACATACCATATAGAATATGGTATATATAATACATATAATACTGTCCCTACAAATGCCTGCAGGAACTGTGGGGTTTGGATCTGTCCCTACAAATGCCTGCAGGAACTGTGGGGTTTGGATCTGTCCCTACAAATGCCTGCAGGAGCTGTGGGGTTTGCCTCTCCCCCATTGATACATCTGCCGTGTGGACACCGCCCGCAGCAGCTGCTCCCTCAGCTGCTCAATCTTCTCCCCGAGGCTCTGCAGAGAGGACCTGATGGCCACGTTCACCTGGGGGAACACAGACATCGTCACTGGCCTGCTCTGTCACATTTGCAGGACATTTCATGCACATATATATATACATATATTTAACATTTGCTGCACAGGTGTGCAGGGCCCCACTGCAGCCCCAGAGAGCCTGCTCAGAGCCAGGAGGCACTGCTTACAAAACAATGCAACAGTTTCACAAACACAACTCTGAGGCATTCATGCTGATGAATATGGAAAGCTGTCTCTCAAGTCTTTATAAACACACTTCTTTATATGGGCAAAACATTTCAGCACGTTTTAATATTTTCCAGAGCTCTTTCCTCTGATCGTCAATAAAATGCAGGCACCAGCTTCTTTTGTCACTGGGTTTCTTTCCCAGCTACCAGGATCAGAGAGAAGGTTGCTACAGGTTCACACATTCCCTGCACTGAACTGCTCCAGACTTGAAACTTCAGACCCCAAAGAAACCCAGATTGTTCCATTTCCCTTCCCAGCAGCACCCCCAGTCCTTTCTCACCACTGCCCTGCCCAAGTCCCAGACGTGTCTGTTCCCAGTAAAAATCTCATCCAGTCATTCCTCCCTGCTGCAAGCAAACCCAGGCTTGCAGGAACCCCCACCCCTTCCCAACTCAAACTCACATTATCCTCAGAGTTTTTCCTCCTCAGATGTTATTTCTTTTCATTCCAGTTATGCAGAAAAAACCACTCTAACTGCAATTAACAATGCAAGTCACCCTAATTAAGACTTGCTGTGCCTCTTGTTTACAAGCTGTGGCTTACAAGGGGCAGCAAGCCCAGCTGCTCCGTGGGGAACTGGGAGCAGAGAGGAAAATCCCTCCTGGAGAGGCAGCAGCAGCCCTCTGCAGGTGCCAGACCCTGCCTGGGTGCTCAGGGCTGCAGCAGGAGAGCCTCAGGACACTGAACCTCTGCCCCGCTGGGCTTTGCCCCCAAACACCCCCAGACACAGCAGAGAGCAGATGCACCCAGGCTGAGGCAGCCAAAATCCACCTGGGACCAAAGCAGCCAACACCACTGCAGCAGCAGATCCAAACCAGCACGGGGGATCAGAGATTCTGGGAGTGCTGGAGCCTCTGCAATCAGGTAATTAAAGGTAATTAATTTTATATGTTCTCAGCTCCAGGTGAAGAATGCTGCATTTGTCTGACCCAGAGCAGCAACAGAGCACAAAGGTGACATGGCCAAAAAAGTCACCAAATGCAGCCACCTGCCCAGAAACTGCAGTGAGAGAACTGAAGATTTCCCCTCCTGTACAGAAAACTAAAGGGAAAGGAAAAGGAAAAGGAAAAGGAAAGGAAAGGACCAATGGAAGTTTTATAAATAGCTCAATAGAGCAGAGTTCACAGATGGTAAGTGCTGGATTAAAATCTCTCCTCACAGTTTACTTTTCCATTTTAGATTTTGTGCTCTATTTTTGGCTCAGCAACAAGCAAGAAGTTTGTCAGCTGTGCTAATTGCAAAACAGTACAAAAATAAAACCCTGTTTACGTTCTCCCTAAAAGCCAATACTGCACAAAGACATTTTTCCTGCATTACAGCACTCAGGAGGCACAGGACATGTGGCTGCTCAGCCGTGGGTTTCTCAACAGACATTTCTGTTATGAAAACACCTCTCTCCTTGCTGGAACCTTGTTTAGAGTAGAATCAAACCCTGCCAAATATTCCTCTCTACCTGTTAATGGATGAAAGGAAGCTGGAAAACGCAGGCCATGGGACAGATGATTTTATGGAGGAGTCAGTCACCCGTGCAATGTTTCCACAAACACAACCCCGGAGAGTTCCAGCCCCAGAAAGGCTCCAAACAGCACCAGCCCCATGTTCCATCAGGGTTTGGGCTCCTCAGAGGTGCCACTGATGGCAGCAGAGAACTTTGCCCTCCATAAATACAGACTGAGCAGCAAGTTTTTATTGGTCTTCTGTTGTTGAGGAGTATCTGTGCAATTCTGACACTTCACCATCCTGAAAGCAGGAATTTAATCTGCACCTCCAAACACTCCACAGCCAGAGAAAATCCTGCTCCCAAATCCCACTTATTGGGGTTTCTGAGACCCCTGCTCAACTCCTGCTGAAGTGAGGCAGCCATTCAGCAGCACTGATTATTGTGCACAGCCTACACACTCTTCCTCAGAATTTCTTCCTAGGAAACATTTCAAAAATGACATTTGATTTGAACACCTCTCAGCAAAGTGAGTGGCCCAGCAGATCCAGTGATCAGGCACTGCATTACAGCCCTGATACAGAGAGGGGGAGAAAAAGCACTGCAGCTTTGATTATGCCAATTATTAAAAACTACCAACTCAAGGGCTTGCAGCAATTTTCACCTGAACACAGCCAAGGGAGCAGGTAATGACTCAAAGCTGCTCCTGAAGGAAAGGAGCCCCAGGGAAAGCAGTCTCCTGAAAACCCTAACTTTATTTTATTTCTTACACAGGGAGTGTGAAAACGTGGAGGACACAACATTCCTGGGGAAGCTCCAACTGCTGCTTCTCATTCCTGTTTAACTCTGGGCTTGCATTCTGTGAGAAATGCAGCTAAAACACGGCTGCAAGATTCCTGTTCCCTCTGACCTGCAGGCACTGCAAAAGGCAGGAGCCAGCCCTGGGGGAGGAACATCTGCTCCCTGCTCACAGACAGAGGGCACAGAGCAGCTGCTGAGCACCCCAGAGCCTCTGGACAGCTCCATCCCAGCATCCCAACACCCCTGAGCCACTGGACAGCTCCATCCCAGCATCCCAACACCCCTGAGCCACTGGACAGCTCTATCCCAGCATCCCAGAGCCTCTGGGACAGCTCCATCCCATTATTCCTGATCCCTGAACTTCTGGGACAGCTCCATCCCAGCATCCCAACACCCCAGAGCCTCTGGACAGCTCCATCCCAGCATCCAAGAGCCTCTGGACAGCTCCATCCCAGCATCCCAACACCCCTGAGCCACTGGGACAGCTCCATCCCAGCATCCCAACACCCCTGAGCCACTGGGACAGCTCCATCCCAGCATCCAAACATCCCAGAGCCTCTGGGACAGCTCCATCCCAACATCCCTGAGCCACTGGGACAGCTCCATCCCAGCATCCCAGAGCCTCTGGAACAGCTCCATCCCATTATTCCTGATCCCTGAGCTTCTGGGACAGCTCCATCCCATTATTCCAATATCCCTGAGCCTCTGGGACAGTTCCATCCCAGCATCCCAGAGCCTCTGGGACAGCTCCATCCTGGAATTCCTCCCCGTACCCCGGGAATTCCTCCCTGCATCCCGGAATTCCTCCCCGCATGCCGGAATTCCGCCTCCCGAGCCAATCCCGGCCCCAGCCCCGCCGGTCCCGCCCCCGCCGGGGTACCTTGGCCGAGCTCTCCCCGCTCCGCTGGCAGCGGCTCCGCTCCTGCAGCTTCTCGGCGATGTCCTGGGCCAGCTGGCGGGCGGCGGCCAGCTGCGGCAGCCTGCGGAGCGACAGCGGGATACTGGGATCGTGGCGTGGGATAATGGGATGGGATCCATGGGATGGGCTGGGATGGGATGGGATCCATGGGATAGGATGGGATGGGATCTCATGGGATCAGCCAGGATGGGCTGGGACCCACCCGGAACAGCTGGGATCAGCTGGGATCTCATGGGATCAACTGGGATCTCATGGGATCAGCCGGGATGGGCTAGGATGGGCTAGAACCCGCCAGGATGTGCTGCGACCCACCGGTATAAGCCTCGGGAGGGGAAAGCACAACACCCCCAAAAAACCACACAGCCCCAAA